ATTTTAGAGCTTAGTTATAGTCCAACATGCTATTACATATAACTACACTAGAGATATAGAGATTTGGATGTAGTGAATTGAGGACCAAAACAAAAGATTATAAACTATGGAGAACATAATTATAATTCACCCTTTATCTATTGTGGTTGAGGTGGACTTTCGGAACTAAATAAAGCACAATATGGCAAAACAAAAAAATAAATACCTCTTACAAATTGCCAGGCCAAGTCCACTACCACCAGAATTTCGAGTAGCTAAAGCCTGAGTTTGTGCAAATTTGGTAAATAGTTTTGGGATATCCTGAGGATTGATTCCAGATCCTGAATCTTTGACCTACGCCAGAAAAAGAGAATGTAATATACTATAATAACTTCAAATGAACAGAATGGTCTTCCAAAAGATGAACAGATTCAAACAAATATTTGAAGAAACAAACCTGTACGCGCAGATAAAAGTGATTATCACTTTGCACTGGAAAGAAATCAGGAGCCCGGAAATCTCGTAAAGATTCTGATTTTGCAACAAAAGCTGTGATTGAGATGCTCCCTTCTTTTGAGAACTTCACAGCATTCCCAACAACATTTAGAATAGTTTGCATAAGACGCTTTTCATCACCTATGGCATACATTGGCAAATCTGCAGCTATATTCAATGTAACTGACAACCTTTTGATAGATGCAACAGGCTTAATCATATTATGAACCTGCAACGAAAAAATAACCATTTTACTGATGCAAACTGCTACAGAATCAATGGAAATCATGTAATCCAAAATAACTCATAAGTGGCAGGAACACATAACCGTACCTCTCTAAATACGGAATGGAGGTTAAAAGTTGCTATTTCAAGTTGAAGGCTGCCATCTTCAAGCCTTGAAAGATCCAAAACATCATTTATGAGGGTAGCCAATAGGTTGCTGCTCCTTAATATCGTTTCAACCATGAGACGCTGCTCAGCTGTGAGCTCAGTTTCCTGCAGCAAAGAAGAAAGAGCAATAATTGCATGCATGGGGGTTCTCATCTCATGGTTCATAACAGCCAAGAAATCATTGCGAGCACGAATTGCAGTCTCCGCTTCTCTCCTGGCTAAATCAAGCGCAATATTCTGCTCCATAAGGAGATCCCTTGCCCTCATTGACTCTTCTAATATTGCAGCATGTGACAGAGCAACCGCAACCTGTGTCAACGACTCAACAATAAGAACTAATAAATGAATGCTTCGTTATATAATAATTTATGAGCAGCGGTATATTTTTATGAAAGCAAGAAACAGGGAAAGAACATCTTTAGATAGGCAATCTGCTCTTTTTATTTATTCTCTCTTTTATAAGATGTTTTTCTGTTTAATAAACCTTTCTATATGCCAAGTAATACAGCATTTCAAAAAATGCATTTCATTTCTGAGAATCAATCAACTACAACTTATATAATAGGTTCCTGAGATTTGATGTAATTTCACGTTACACAAAGGGTTATAGTAAAAGGATTAGATGGACCGTAAAACATCGACAAAAGAATGAACCTTTCCATAAACAAACATTTTTTTCATAGGACATCATAGGTACTACTTAACCTCTTCAAATGTGGATCTGAGCAACCAAAAGAAACTGTATTTTAAATTTCCTTTTGGGATTTGGATGTGGAGAGATTTATTACCATTGTCATAAAGATTGTACTTAAAAAGATACAGATTGTGGTTTTTTTACCTGATCAGCAACCACTTCTACCAATTCTAACTCGTGAACGTGCCATTGCCTTGCACTATCTGAGGGAAGCATCAAGACCATCAAAGCATAGCGTTTTGTTGAGAGCTCAGGCCAGTCATTAATTTGGAAGTTAGAGAGATGTAAAAGGGGCACACGAACTGCAACAACTTCCCCAGGAATGTGCCTTCCTGCAAGTTGCCTCAGTTTTGCCACTGGAGAATTTGGTGATATTTTTACTGCACGGTTGCTACTAAATACTTGATTGATGACAGGAAGATGAATGGGTACAGTATATCCTACTGGATTCTGCTGACGAAGTGTATAGGATAGTTGAAGCTCTAATCCAGTACGCGTTGGCATCCACAAGGCACACTCTTCCAATGCCAAAGTTCTACCTAACTCGACAAGTGTAGTTTTAAGTATAGTATGTCTATCAAGAGTGCTTCTGATTTCATGGGTCAACATCCTGACATGTCGACCTGTTTCCTCCTGTGTACGGATAAGGCCCATTTCTCTATCGAGCTCCGCCGCCTTGTTCTTCAAGAATAGTTCTCTAGTTTTAACACTCAATAAATCAGGTATAATATGTACAAGCATAAGGGCAGTTGCGCATGACACCACCGCAGTTAAAACCTTTGCCGTGGTCATTACCATGGCCACAGTTCTTGAATGTATGCTGAACGTCCATAAGTTGATAAGATGAGTCGCCCCACACAGTACAATGAAAGCACCAAACTGTACGAGGACCCATCTGTATGGAAACACTGCAGACTTCTTGACAAAGTAGATCAACTCTAGCGGGATGGAGAAATAAGCAAGCGCAATAAAGAAATCTGAAATGTACTGATATTTCATCAGCAATTCATCAGCCGGCCATTGTGGCTCAATACAGTTGCATGCCAACATGATGATTGAGCCACTTAAACGGATATTACTTGGTCTGTTACATGCCTACAACATATTATACCGTCAAAACTGAAGCAAATAAAAAAAAAAAAACAGAAAAATGAAAGGGAAAAAACAGCATTAATCTAATCACGCAATAGTACTAATTAGTAGTTACAAAAGAAAATTATGATATAACAATTTAGGATTACGCAAGTGCAAACTAGGCTCCATTGATCTTTCAACATTTGATCATTTAGAGCAACGCAATTTAAATATAAAATTTCAATTAAACAACATCGAAATTTCTGTCTAGAACCTGTACCCAACAACTCAACCCTTTCAAAATCCAACCGATAGTATAAAAAACGAAGAAAAAAATACAACCACAAACCGTGATCATCAGGAATGAATACATAAACACAATTGGAAAACCACATTTATTATTTATCCCTTGGGATCCATTGACCGAAAGAAAGAGCAAGGATCCTGCCATCCAGCAATTCACTACCAATCCATAAATCCCTAAAGTCTCAACCCTGATTCTAAAAGTTTCAAATGAATCCCACTTCTCAATCTCCAAAAAATTTAAGCCATAATCTGCAAACCCAAGCTTCTAATCTGCCCACATGCACTGAAGTTCTAAGATTTCAGCTCAATGAAAGTGAAAACCCACCTGACAAGTGAGAAATGAGCACAGAAAGCGAGGGGGTGGACTGACGATTGACTGTCGCAGAAAGCCCCGGCCGTCCGCGGCGGCAGGTCAAGTCGGCGCCGGCGAACTGATATCGCTAGCGAACACAGTGCGACGATCCAGCCGAGGAGAAGAGAGGGTGGGAGAGGAGACGACGGGCTGACTAGGGTTTTGAAAATTGGGGATGGAGATACCCATAATCCATTGCATTGATATAATTCACCGTCACGCAGATTCAAAACGCTGCGTTTTGATATCATTGCAATTTATTGTATTTCCAAAAGGAGAGGATGGATGGTTTTGATATATTAAATTTGGTCAACTTGAAATCTGAACCGCTCATGTTTTGGCGGGTAAGAGGCTTGAAGCCTTGAACTAGTTTGCGTAAAAAATGCACCTCTTTATGAGACCTCTTTCTTCGCAGCGCTCTGATACAAAAAATGCACCTCCATAACCTCACAGAAACGAGCGCGGCAACTCCGTGCTCTCCTCCTTACCACCACCGCTGTCGGCTCGCGCTCACTGGCATTTCCATGTATACGCAATCTCATTCACTTGGCGATATCCGGACGGTGTCCGACAAATGCCTCAATGATATCTGGTTCCATTCAATGCGCTCTCTGTGGCGTGTTAGCGTGATTCAAACAGTGCAGTTTTGGCCAGGTAGCTACTTAACAAAAATGGGAATTCAATTCCGTAGTCCAAATGGTTCCGCTTTCACGAGCGTAATGCAGGCATATTATACACTTGAGGACTTGGCTCTTTGATTCATGCCCAACTTGTTCAATTAAATTTGGATTCTTGAGTGATTTTTGTTCAAGCTGCTCTACTTTTCATGTACTTCAGCCGTCGGGAGGTGGAATCAATGAAAAAAGTTTTTAGCGAGCGGGATGGTTGATGAAGATGTTGTGCCCTGTAAGTCTACGAGCTTTGGGCCATGTGAAGAATGATGAGACCATAGAAGGTGGTTCATCTCTTTGGCAGCATGTTGAGGACTAGTGTCTATGTACTTCAAAAATGGTGAAACTGATGAAGATCGGAAAGTGTTTCAGTCCATCTTAGAGAAGGAAAGATGTTCTATCGACTGAGATGATCATGAGTTTTTGGAGATTGGCGAGAGTGAATTTACGTTCTTTTATGAAATTAATGTTCCAGGAGTTTGGAGTGCTTGAAGCTATTTCGAGATAGAAAAACATGGTTTAAGACCAGACCAAGTAACATTACTGTCCAGTCTCAGCTTGCAACAACAGTGGTTTGGTTAAAGTAGGGAATTTTTTGTGGAAATGTATGGAGGATAACGGTATCACACCTGGCCCTTAGCACTACCCTTGCATGGTTAGTTTGTTAAGTCGAGCTCGATTGTTGGATGAGGCAGATGAACTTGTTATCAGTTAACCGTTTTGTGGAAATAATCTTGAATTGTGGAGAGCGTTACGAAGCTTGTGCAGCAGAGCAGGTTTTAAGTTTAGACTCACAAGATAGTGCAACTGACATCTTGTCGAACCTCTATGCTGCTGCAGGAAAATGGGATAGTGCTGTCGACATGAAGAGAAAGAATAGAGTACTGAACTCGAAAAAGGATCCTGGACTAAACGGGACTGAATCAGAGCAAGAGGTAGGTAGGTGAACCCCAAGCTGCGCTGCATTGGCTACAAGGAAGCATGCTAAGATCACAAACCGATGAATTTTAAGAACCGATTTATACTATGCCATAAGTTTCAGAATCATGAAGCATCATTGCATAGCAACAACACAACTTTTTCGTTTTAAAGGTTTTTAGAACTGATGTAAATTCCAAATACAAAGGCCAAGTAAAAACTCTGAGCAAATTCAGAGTAACACGCAGTACGCACGTTGAAGTGGAGTGGTAACATTACACTCATGGTGACCAAAACTATTCTCCTTACAACTGGCCTAAAATGTTGCTCACTGACATTTCAAGCATACTTCTGGGCAATCTCCATAAGAGAATTGGATAGTTCTTGTGGCTTTGAAAACATCGGCATATGATCAGCACCCTTAATCTCGACCACATTTTTAACCCCGCTGTTTGCAATCATCCATCGTTGAAATTCCTCGGTTATTATCAAATCTTTGTCACAAACCACATAAACTCGTGTAACCGAACCGTATCCCTCATTCGAGAATTTCTTCATCTTAGCCACTTCTTCACGAAAGAACGAACTCTTCCTTACTAAGCTCTTGGCAAGTTCCAAATCCTTCAAACACGTAAAATTTAATTACATCAGTTCAGGAAATTATAAATACATGTATACACTACAAGTTTAAGATAAATATTATGCCATAGACAAATACTGGGGGGGGGGGGGGGGGGGGGGAATGGAATCACGCTAAAGCATTTTCCAAGATATAATTGCAGTAATTCTCTTTGAGTGCTTGTGAGAACGATACCTCGATCGGGCTAAGTTGGTAGAGAACCTCTTGTAGGTACTTGGGACCAAAGAAAATCGATGTCAAGGGTTGTTCGGGGCTTCCAAATTTCTCAAACCGAGTATCCAACCATGAGTCTGCCGGTTTCTTTTCCATGAACTTTTCACACAGAAAAAATGGTTTTCGAGTAAACTTTGCTTGCTTTTATAAATTTCTAATAAAGCAAAGAACATGCAAATACAAATTGTAAGTGAAAGGTCTTAGATTCGAATCTCTTGAATAACGAGTTGGATACTCATTTATTCTGCCACTCGTAGTGTAAGTATATCGATGCGTCAAAAAAAGAAGATGCAGATACCTGATCCATAATATAAGACGGCTGGTGAGTTGTGTCGGGCAGAAACGCAGTCAAGAAAACAGCAGCAGAGATTTTCCGTGGGAACTTTTCCATGGCAAGGGACAAGTTCATGCCTCCAAGACTATGTCCTACGAGTATCACCTTTTCGTTTGGAGCGAGCGATTCTATTAACTCTAACAAGGGCTCAGCGTACTCAGTAAGTGAGTGAACATCTTGTATGGCCTTCATGTTGATGCCCGATGCTGCGAGGTTAAGCACCGTGACCCTGTGACCACCGGACTCGAGCTTGGGTTTGATCTTGTACCAGCACCAAGCCCCATGACCCGCGCCGTGTACTAGAACAAAATGCGCCTTCCGTTCTCCGTTGGATCCTGCCATTTCCTCTGTTGGCTATGAACTACCACTCTACAACTGCATATAAAGATGGTTAAAGCATGTACTAACTTTTCAACGCCGCGGTAACATTACAGGACATTTTCATCTGATAAGTGTATAGCAATAGATAAGAGAGAAATTAGAGTAATCAAAAGAATATAAGATAAACTATTAACCTAATCTCCTAAAATACTAGCTCGATGTGCAGATAATTAAGAGAATACGTCCAATGCATTATCTTGGTATAGATGGTCATAATTCAGAAATTAATTTGATGACAAGAAGTATAGAATAGTCAATTCTGAAATTGAAATTGTGTATCCGATCCGATCAGACCAAGAACCATGCCCAGGTGTCCGGACCGAAATAATCGTCTTTGTTAAAGAGTAAAGAGGGTGAGTCTATATGCGGTAGTAAAATAAATTACAATAGTGAAATTTTCTGCGTAAGAATGTAATTAGAAATCTGGTAATAAAAAATGGCAAATCAAAGAAAATTCAACAACTGCGTATCGCGCTTTGTGCAGGGTTGAAAAATATCGGATGTGAAGAGAAAAAGAGGAAAATTCAAAAGCAAACAGACGGATCAATCACATTACTCGAAGAATAGTCACAAAATATGTGTCGGCAGAAATTTTGGAATACAGCAATCGGGCCACGTTTCCTTAAGGACCTATTCAAGAATATCTTATATCCCACCTTCATAATTTGTGATGCTACCCGAGAATCTCTCTCACAAGGTCCAGTCCGGTTTCTCTACCCGAGAATCTCTCATGGCCGCAGATGTCGGAGGAATTTCCATGTGTATGACATCACATTTGGCATTTCATGACTCGTATATATCACATCATTTGTGCTTTTTGATCTTCAAGTGGCTCTCCCACTAGCCGACTTGGAGGGACTACTAGTCTTGTGACTAGGCAAATGTGTTTGCACGTGGTCAGCAAAATCATCTTCTCTAATGGAAGAACAATTTATATGGTACAAATTTATCGTCTCGATAACGATCCGTGCAATGAAAATAAATATATATACAAAAGTTTCTATTATTTTAATTTTATTGGCAGAACGCTACCATGATGATAAAACCGTGTCATCAAGGGCGAACCGATTTAGCCGTAAGGGGATCAGTTGATCTTTTGGAAAAAATTTAGCAGTATTTTAGGATCGTCAAGGGATCATGGGACCTCCCAGGTCCCTTTGTGGATCCACCTCTAACCGCTCCTGTACTTTCTTGATGTGAGGAAGTGATGCGAAATATATAAGCACACAAATTAAACCTTCTTTTTATCAATTGTAGCAAAGTATGTAAGTAGGGATCGTTCTAGGCCGGGGATTATGAGGGATTGCCAAATCACTTGAAACTGACTCAAAACGTAAAAACAAAGTTTAAAACACTAAACTAGACTCAAAGAATGCAAAACCAAACTATAAAACACCAAAACAAACCAAAAGACTCAAAACAGCAAATAAACACTCAAAACTGCCTTAAAAACACTTTCTGGGTAGTTTTGAACACCTAACACTAAATTGGACGAAATTGGGTTATGACTTGACTCAAGACACTTAAAAACACAAACTAAATTGATTTCTAACTAATCTAACACTTCAAAATAAATGGGGATTGAGTTTTGACGAAAATTGAAAACAAGAACAAACTTTGTAAATTGAACAGATTCTAAAACGAATTTGATAAAAGTGAATGGATGGAAGGCTAGCTAAGGGGTTCTTCTCCACACATGTCACTTGCATACAAAACGATTTCCAATTGCTTTTCGATAAACCATGAATTCCCAACACCCCAGATTAACCGTGAATTGCACTAATTAACCCTCAGATTTTCCTTAAGTTATTGAATTGGATGAATTGCATACGACAACCCAAAGCATTCCCCACAAGTTCCCTACATGAATTGCATAATAGAGATACAAGCAAGAATCATTAAGTTCTATGAAAATCATAAGCATTGGCGAAGCACTCGTTACTATGAATTGCATGAAACTTATGCCAAGAATTTACTTAACACGATTGTGATCAACAACCTTTACTACTTGTGAATATAAATTCATAACGATTAGGTGAAACTCCCTTATATCCTAGTATCAAACTTATGCATGAAAATTAAGCGTGCATTCTCAACCAACATACACAAATCAGTTTTAATTCATGTAGATAAGTAAATTGAATTCACAACATATGAAACGCAATTAGAAGTAATCAAATCATATAGCAAGCATAAACATGGTTTCGAATTCCCCCCTAGCCAAGGGGGGTTTAGTTCCTCATACTCACAAAGCAAAGATACATAAATTTAGACATTAAAATCCAAAGAAAGAAAACACCTAGATGATCCAGCTTGGACAGCAGGTGCATCCACAAGTCTTCTTTCCTCCTTGCTGCGGCACTTGGTCTAAAGTCAGGTTCTAGGGTGGTATTTGTATGGGAGAATGGGTAGGGAATGGTATGGAAGGGTTTAGGATTGATGGGGGGTACGGCTAGGGTAAAAAGAATCAGAAAAATATGGAAGAATGGTGAAGGAAGGCTGCGGCAATGAGAGGGAATGATTTCTGGCGAAAATTCTGAATATGGAGGGGTGGTTGATATGTTTTTTATGTAGTATGTTTTCTAGTGTTCTTCCCTTCACTCCCTATTTATAGAAGCTCCAAAGCAAAGAATCACTCAAGTGGCTTCAATAAACAATACAAACAAAGACCAAAATGATGCAAAAACAGCTAGTTTACATGCTGTTTTATCATTGTGTCTTGCCTTTAACAAAAGGCAATCATTCCTCTTTTGCTAATTCAACTCCTTTGTAGCTGTCCATGTGCCTTCATTCTTCAATTTCTGATGCATTTGCCTTGTATTCCATCCCTTTTCCACATGTACTAGCTATTAGACAACTTTCACACACATGTTTTGCATCATTTCATCTTGCAAACATCAACTTTCGGCCACTTTACACCTCTACACACATGTTATGCATCATTTCATCCTGAAATTATGTTTGTAGTTGCTGAAAATGTGAGTACATCCTGTAAAGCAATCCAACAAATGGCATCTTTCACTTCTTTTCCTTTCAAATTGTTCCTTAAATGTATGTATCTGCACACTTCCACACTTCAACTTCATTATTCAGATTTTTGCATGTGTTGAAACCCTTTTTAAAACACCAAAAACGTTCATCCCCACATGCTCCATATGCATGCAATCCATTTTGGCCCAAAATTGCTCCAAATTGCACCAAAATGCACTTTCTTTCCAACTTTGTTATTAGGACCTACAAACACACGAAAATAGCTTAAAACACTCTTATAAGCAATAACTAACTAAGTAAATGCAAGAAAACATGTTAACTAAGTCGCATAAATATGCTCCTATCAGGAAGAAGATGGATGCGATGGCAGAGACGATGACAATGACGTGTGTGTGTGTGTGTGTGTGTGTGTAAAGAGACAAAAATATATATGATCTTCATTTACAAACGATATTATCATAGTAAGAGGGAAGGGGTTGGCCTAGCCTCACAATGGATAGAAATAATGTGGTTCAAATTCGTCTTTGGTAAGAATCGAATCTAAAACATCTCACTTACAAGTGAAGGGAAACACCACTAAACTGTAGTACTAAGTAGCAAATTTATTAAAAAAAATTAAAATCCCTCAAAATCTCAATCGAATACACCTATGTTTTCAGTTTGAAGTTTTCAAAAAGAGAAATGATTTTAACATACCATTTCCCACCTTATACACACTCATCTAGCTTCGTAGCTGTCAGATTGAACAATTAAAGTAAAATCAACGGTCAACATTATTAGAAAGTATGCACAGAGTAATAAAAGGTGAGATGAAATCACTACCCTTTCAAAAAATTATACATATACTAAAACCCAAACTCGGGTGGCACTGTTTTTCACTATTCGTGAACAACAAAATAGCGGAAATGCCCTCATATTTTTTGGCTGGCAACACTTTGTTTCAACTTATCTACAATGAAAGGATGGTTATGCCCTTCCATTCCACCTGTCGACCATTGTTGCGTCTTCTGGCATCTTCCCTTGCTTTTCACTCTTTTTGCTTCTATTGCTTTTCATTCTTTCTCCTCCAATTTTTGTTCGATTGTTTGGGTTTTTGTGGTTTTCGTTTCCTTTGCTCTCTCTCCCTGTTACCTCTGTTGGTTTCTGTAGCTGGTGTTCTTTGTTCTCTCATGTTCTATCTTGCTCTTCTATCAATTTAAAGTTTTCCGGTGAGTTATTCAAAACTTGCATGTGGGAGGGGTTTTTTTTTTTTTTTCTTTCCAAATCGATGGGTTTTATTATCTTCAATTTTAGATGTTAAGAATTGATTGTTTATTTTGGTTAGATATTTTATTAACCTTTGTTATGTGTTCTGATCAAGGATTGAATTGGGTTTTGGAGTTTTAATTTGATGATTTTTTTTATTCAAATGTTTAGTTGCAGAAATTTTAAATTAGTTTGTGTTCTGGGTTTCAGATTTGGCGAAATATTTTATTGGCCTGTGTTATGTGTTCTGATGAAGGTTTGAACACAGAAAAACAACCACACAGGCCTTGGCCTTTTGCATTGAGTATTTTGCTTCTTCTTTTTTTTGGTGCTGTGGTTGTTTGTTTTTTATTTCAGGAAATGTTGCTGATCGAATTTTAAGGTTTTGTATAGAAGCTTGCAAGCCCTTTTTTATTTCGTTTGCATATCTATTTTATAATAATAATATTAATTAATTTTTGGGGTTTTGTTTCTGTGTTTGGATTTTTAGTGTGGGTATATGATTTGGTTTTTTATTTTATTTTGAGGAAGCAATGGTCATCGTTTTTTGCCGCTTTTATGTGTAGGGTTCCAGCTTCCAGGTGCTTGAGGTTCCTCTCTCTCTCTCTCTCACTTTTTTTATTCAAATCATGATCGAATTTCATTTATATGAATGTTGGATCTATAATCTATTGCTTTCAACAAATTGTGCACTTTGTTTACTTCGATTAATTTTTTGTGGTTTGATTTGGTGAATTTTTGGGAAAATCCAAGTTCAATCCCATTCTGTTTGCAGCATGCCAGCGATGATTTAAAACATTTTATGATGGACAATCAATTGGAAACAGCTTCAAATGGGAAGTTTTCACAAGGGACGCATGTAAGTGGGGTTATGCCTGATGCCAATGGAGAATGCTTTTTGAAATTTCATTAAGGGAAATTTTGGGTTTTATTGAAGAAATTTTAAACCCAGAAAGCTTGGGTTTCCTGGTGAGTTCTCTGACATTTTTTGTTAGGGTTTAGTTCTTGGGTTCTCTTTTCGTTGTTCAAATTTTTGTGATTTTAATTTTAAAAATCTGGGTTAAAGAAATTTTTCTGAGTTAATTCATGATATTGTATGAAGTATGGCTTATTCTATTCTCTTTTTATTGAGGTATGAATTTACATGGAAATGTTTATATGCAGGTGGACTATGTCATTTGAGAAACTATGGTATTCATATGTTCTGTAATTATTTTCATTTTATTTTGGATTTGTTCAAGTTCCAGTTTGCACGATTGTAAGATGTATATCTAATTTCAAGTATCTAATTGGTTTTGTACCAATATACAGTACTCAAACGCTCTCAACGAATACCCTTTTTCTCCCTCTCTCGCATGATAATTGATGCGGAGTTCCAGACCCAGAGAAGGTGAAAATCTAGACTTCCCAAACTTGGCCTCCCTTCTCGACTGTGGAGTATCAACCGGTACACTTGAGCTTCCCAAACTATGTTGAAATATTTGAGAAATGCTAAGTAAACAAAAGAGAAAAGGAATTTTAGAGAGAGTGATATAATAGTTGTTATGTAATTGTATGAATGAATTAACTATTCAACAGAGAGAGAGAGTTAAGAATTTATACAACAACTAATCACCTTGCTTAGCTCTCATGGCACATACTTAACAGACTAACAAACACTAACAATCTCTAAACTGATCTATTGAGCTGGACCATTAACCTCTGTTTATATCCCAGCCACTCATTTTTCGACACTTATCACTATTTGCAAAATCTAGAGTTGAAGAAACCCTATTCTTAATGAATATTATTTTTTATTGATAATTAATTGATGATTAATCTATTCCATTATTATTATTTTACCGCCAAATACTTTGAATATTCATTAGCAAATGATATAGGGTTAACTATTTAATGAATACAATTTTGATGGTTGATTGCATTTCGTCAGTTATAAATATGGTGAATCCATTATTCAATACTGGCTGAATAATCACAATGCTTTGGCCACTTATCTTGAATTCTGTTCAAATTGATGAAGTCGCATGTTTCTTAAATGGAAACCTGTGTTCTTTGAATTTGGCTTTTACAATTGAAGTCAAATTGACTCTGGCTTGAGCGACATTTGTAAATCAGGTGTTCTGAAAATTACTTTACACACCATGACCTGCATTTCTAACTGTTTACTGGTCTATACTTTAGAGATAGTGTACATCATTTTACTTTTTGTTGTGCATGTGACTGTGATCTTGAATATTTGATATTCTTTGAGATTTTCAGCATCCAGGTTTCGAAAATTCTGAACTTTATTCTTTTGTTTTTCTTCCTGTTTGATCAAGAATTGAGCCATGGTCCTTTAAACAACATTTGGGGCAAGCTGTTTTTATCCCTGCTGGATGCCCTTTTCACATCAGGAATCTTCAAGTAGTTTTCTTTGTAGCTAAATTAATATTTTTGAAGTACCAACTCCGGGTTATTTAATGAAAATGTGAACGGTTTAGATTGACTAGACAAGTAATTTATTTAAAGCATGTAATTGTACTTGCATGTGTATTAGTTTTATTTCTTGGTCGTTCAAGGACGTCACATAGCAAAAGTTAAGTCATCTAATACTACAATGTACATACAATACAGAAAGAAGTCTTAATATTGGATGACTTAACATTCTCTGTTTTTTATTTTTTAGTTTTTATTAACCCTGTATCTTAAAAAATAGTTATTTTTGAGTTTTGTAGGCTACTTTTATCAATTGTCAAATGTGACTCAAAAACTAATCCAAAAGCTTTAAAAAAACTTACTGTTTGATAATTTCCTTTCCGAAATTCTAATTATGTTTAAACTTTTGTCAGTCATTACATTTTTTGCAAGAACTCTAAATTCACATTGTATTTCAATAAATTTTAGACGCTTTGTCTACGCTCTTAAATTTTTTTACTACAATGTGTTAAATATTTTTAATTACTAAATCAAATTCTCGCTATTCCATTTAGTAGAAAAAAAAAAAAACATTCCAGCATTATTCTTATCATTCGCAGATGTGTGCTTCTCAAGCTTTGTTCTATACAAATTTTAATGCACTTAACACTTACTTCAGGATCATTGGCATTGATCAAATAAGGTGACCAAATTCTTATTATTGATCATTCAATACCTTCTTTCTTTGCTAAGTTTTTTTCACCCCTCTTAAACTTATTAACTTTGATATGCTTCAAGTTATTCCTTGGTATAGAACCTGCCTCATCTGCTTTCGAAATAATCAGATTTTCTTTTACATGATTATGTGAATGATTGAATTTTTGAAAGAAATTGATTTAAATTTTGTTTTCATATTTAGGCGGGCAAGAGAAAAGGAATTGACAAAGTAGAAAGCTTTAGAGAAAGCTAGAAAGCTTCAGGTAAAAATCAGGAATGTATTAAGAAACTTCTTTTGTCAAATTTTCCTTCCTTTTTGGTTGATGGTGGGAATAATACAGGTAAAAAAATTGCATGTTGCAAAGGAAAAACCACCCCAGCGCACACTCGGAAATAGCTAGAGGTATTGGTAAACCTCACTTTGTATATACATGCTTTACAATTCGTGGAAATCCACATGACTCCTGAAAATGATAGTAGCAAATATGAGGTAAAGGGACTTAATATTTTATTAACATGCTTCTTGCGATTTTGGAGTTATGCCAGGATGGGTAGTTTACCCTTGGGTGTGGGTTGATGATTGTACACACATTACATTTATGTTACGATAATTATAAATAACATCTTGTTTCGTGGATGAATTTATTTCTACTGTTCATTTAGACATTGAAGCTGATGCAACTCTAAAATTAACTTCTTGATAGACTAGAAGTAGATATCTGTTTTTTATTCTCCACACTTCTGTCTAACTTCTTCTTGAGTGATAGTTTAGTTAATTTCTTTTTACTTTCTTGCAAGTTTGATGGGAATTTTTAGCTATCTGCAATAATGAGAATGCAAAGTAATAGGTTTGTCATCTTTTGATTTATATTAATTTTTTATTATTTTGTAGATTAATAATTATGCGATTGATTATATTTTATTGTGTTAATGTGTAGTGTAGATAATTTTAGCCAACATTATAGAATCCATTTTCTGTTGAAAAATTTGAATGTTCTGTGATGGAAAAGGTTATGATAAACTGCAAGGTAGAAATTCTGTTATGAGTTCTTCAACTAATTTGGAGCATGTTTCTTTACGATGTTTAATTTCATCTGGAAACAAATAGTGTTTAGAATCACCAAGTGGTACAAAAAAGTATTTTAAATTGTTTTTTAACCAATCTATTGCCAACTTTTCCAACGGGTTTCTTATTTTATTCTCCATTATTTTGCAAGAAACCAAAGCCTTTCCATGCTCGAGGGTTATTGTGTGCGTAAGAATTAATCTGTTTTGTTTGATCATTATGTTACAATACTATATGTGGTTGCAAATTTGAAAAATGTAGGGAGACAGATCAGTTATGAACAAATTAGCATGGTTCATCCTAATGATATATAAGTTAGGTGGCTGATTTGTTTCCTCATTTCTTCATTGGTGATTTGTGTTTTCAGTGACTTTCCATTCGTGGGTAATAAGTTTTTGTCAAGAGTTAATGTGTTCAGTTCTTTTTCTTTTTTAATTTCTGTTATGTGTGGTTCTGTGTCATGTGGTTGGAGTGTGATGTGATTAAAGGTTCCAAAAGAGAAACATTACTTCTTTTATTTGGTCAGAGGAGGGGGGAGGAAGTTCTGTTCAATTTTGGTTTTTCCAATGGCTTAGGAAGAAATTATGTCACTATTGATATTGCAGGTGGACAACTTGCAGAAATTACAAGGTATGCTACAATCTGTACTTCTTCGGTAGATTTGATTCAAATTGATAGATTTCGGTGAGAAAGAAACTTTTATCTTTTCTTTCAGTTAAGGACTCTTAGGACTTCAAATTTGTAAAAGATGTGAATATTAGAACAATGGCAATAGAACCGCCAATCCATATGCTTGTAAATAGATTTCAACATATATCTAAATACTATTGCATATCGTATGTATTTAGAACTTTTTACATGTTTTATACAGTTTTAAAACCCGCAGCTTCACGCAGGCACGGTTGCTAGTGTATACTAAAAGCTAAAACAATAATAATTATCAAACGTCTCTATAGTTTGAAACTTTGAGTTTTTAGTTTTCTTTTGTGTGTCTTTTCTTTTGCCTCTCTCTTACATTTATCCCACCATCCTTTATTTACTCTTCATCCTTCTTTTTCCTATGTATTTTAATTCTATTACTAGCACAAAAAGTAAAAAAAACAAAAAAACAAAAAAACAAAATTGATATCAAACAGATCGCTAGACTTCACAAACAATCCAAGATAATAGAGGCATGATTTCAAGGGCTTCCATCTTCTTCCAATAAAATTAATTTCAATCTGCTTTATTATCAACTTAGAAACCCCACCACTAAGACCATCTCCAACCCTGGGCTAAAAGCCAAATTACCCCCCCCAAACACTCTTCAACCCATGCTAAAATTTTAGGCTAAATGCCAAATGCTATTTCTGGGCCAAATACCCCCCAGCTTTCCCCCTGGGCTAAATGCGAAATGTTTATCGGAATTTAAATTTTTTTAGATTAAAATGTTCATAAAATTAATTTACAATAATCTACATATTTATTTTTTTTTAAATTGATTTAAGAAAAAAATTTAGGCTAATTTCATTCTTTAATAATTCCGGGCTAAAATTTTAGGGTAGAAGGGTTGGAGCAGAAAAGATGTTTCTGGGCTAAAAGCTAAATTTTCCGGGCTAAAAAATTTGGCTTTTAGCCCAAGGGTTGAAGATGGTCTAACTAGGGTAAGTCCTTAATATTCCGAACTATTCAACAGTTGGCTTTATAGTTAATAGATTGACAAGTAAGTGGAAAAAAATATAAAATTTAAGGATTTTTATCACAAATAGTCCTTCAGATTGAGCAAACTCATAATTTTAATCCCTCACTTTCAAAATCAATCAATGTCGTCCCTGACATTCACTACCCCACATCAATTTGGTCATTCAGTTAAGATTCCACCAACTATTTTGTTAGTTTGTATGCGGCACCCACAAATCCAATCAGTGGAGGAGCCAGGAATTTAAGACAATGGGGTCAAAAGTTGAACTTCCATTACTAATCACGCAAAGCAAACAATTTCGAATTCGAACACTGCCTTAATGTTTGGTTTGTCATTACCTTGAGGGTCATGGATGGCTCTTCTGAGAAAAGCGCTCTCGTCTTTGATAGTAACCTTCTGGCCACACCGTATGTGCCAGTTTGGCATATGTAGAATAAACTTGTCGAGTCTTCATTCCTACTTTAAAATCCTACTAGTCAAAAGGATACTAAACAAATGAGCTAGAGGCGTGTTTTACTTGGCCAGAAAGAGAATGGGTGGAAGGGAAGTCCTTCTCGATTTGGATTAGTCCTTTGATTCCCATGAGGAAGAAAATCGGTGCTGGACTCGCAACTAGGAGTCCGATTACTTATATTGACGGAATCGAAATCCGAAGAAGGGAAGCTCGGATTGGTCGAGAATGAAACAATATCGAGTTTGTTGTACCCGAAATACCGACACATAATTTCGGAAACACCAAAATACCCCTAATCATAGACCTAAATCTGCTGGAAAACTCCACCAGAACTTCTTCGTTAGCTCAGGAAACTTCTTCCTGAAATCATGATCGATATGGGACATGTGAACTTCTCAATTATTGATCCTTACCGATTTGAGAATTGTGAACTCCTAAAAAAGGTCGTACCCAGTGCACAAGGCTCCCGCTTTACTCAGGGTCTGGGAGAGGTGAATGTCGGCTAGCCTTACCCCCATTTATGAAGAGGCTGCTCCCAAGTCTCGAACCCGAGACCTACCGCTCATGGGCGAAGGCACTTGCCATCACACCAAGTGCGACCTCTTAGAATTGTGAACTCCTCAATTATTAAATTTGTACATGCCGAGCGACTCAATGGTATGATTTATTGATATTTGTTTCACTTGTAAGTTAAAAGTGTTTGATGTAATTAACCAATTTAATATCAAATTACTATGGTTGACTCATTGACTTATTCTAAAATTTTCACACCTTTGGTTACATTAAGAGAGAAAAAACTCATAAATGGAAAATGGTGTGAGTATTTGGTATAGAAATGTCGCAATCTTAAGTGTAAGTTGTGAGAAAATGAGCTAATAATATAGAGAGAGAATCTCTCTCACTCTCGCTCTATTGTGATTTCATTTTCCAATCTCTCATGTTCTCAATCCGCACCCCTAAATACTTGACTAGTACGTTACTAAGGCATATACATGACCACCAAAATATTCACATTTCAAGTAAATAGTGGCTATCTATATGTTTGAATATATGGTTCTAATGGAACTTTGAATGAACTTTTTTATTAGCAACCTTTACTTAAATATAGGCGCATCCGCAATCTTCTTTATTTTTAACAAGTATGATACTAACGGATGTATCGATACATTATATGATATACAAGTTTGATGACTCCCGGATAATTGAAAATACATAAATAAGCAAAGCAGATGCTTTTACTTATTTCCTATCTCCAACAGAGAATTGCAAAGTTCTTGGGGCTTGGAAAGCATTGGCATATGATCAGCACCCTTAATCTCCACCACATTTGTAACACCACCGTTTTCGATCATCCACCGTTGAAATTCAGCTGGTATTGCTTTATCTTCGTTACAGATCATGTAAACTCGAGTGACCGACCCAAATCCTTCGTTCGAGAAATTCTTCATCTTTGACAAGTCTTCAAGAAATAGTGAACTTGTCCTCACTAAGGATTTGGCAAGTTCCAGATCCTTTGAATAATGCAACATTCATCAGATGCAGTTAATTCTAAATTAACTAAGACTTGTAATGACTCCATTTTATTCAAGCTACCTTTTAAGACCAACCGTTTTTCCATAGATTAGACAAAAAAGCTTTCTTTAATTTTTGCATGGAAAAAAAAAATCAGGAAAGCCATTTTCACTCTCGTCTTCTCTTTTTGCATTTATTTACCTGGTTGTATCTCTTGATTCTTCAATTATATAATTCAAATGCCAGAATAAAATGTAGTAGTAAAAAAGGAGCAAAGAGAATGCAAAAATCACTTCTCAAAATATGTTTTGTTGACTGGTCGAGGATCTTAACCACTGATAAGTTAATTTTTCTTTAAATGTGCGGTCCAGATTCATTGTTTAACACCATAATTAAGCATATATATATATATATAGGATAAAAAACTGTTTACTACTCTCATGTTTTGTGGTTTTCAACATTTAGTACATCAAGTGGCGCAACATAGTCAAGAAAATTCGTTTAGTTTTCTAATTTATATTAACTTTGGGGTTGCATTTTGAGTTTGTTTACGATCAACCCATTTACAGTTGCAGTTCTATTGTGTGCATGTGTAGTAGTGTGTGAGGATGTGAAAGATATATACCTCAATGGGGCAGAGTTCATAGAGCTTCGTTAAGAACATTGGACCAAAATGCATTGATGTTAAAGGTTCTTTGACACTTCCGTAATTTGCAAACTGGGTGTCCAACCATGCTTCCGCGGGTATCTTTTGCGTGAACTATTCGCATGTATACAGAAAGTAAATTTAAAAACAAAGTTCTAAAATCAATTCTAATTGTTTTTCAAATAAGTAAACAACTTGCAATAATATTTGAAATGAAAATTAACAATTTTTCATCAATGGTATTTAGAACTAATTTAATTTGTTACTATATGGAAAAGAAGTAACATGCATAGCCCACCTATTGCCACATTCGTGGAAGGTGGATATAAAAACAAAAAACATTTTGATTAAATATTATTTTTGATAAAACCCCCACTTGCACTGGGGCGTGTTGAATAATTCTAAAATTCGATACATGAAACCAGACACTTGTCGTGATCTTCAGACGGTAAAACGCAAAGTTGGAGAATAATATGATGTGATTCGAGAAGACAATTATTATTATTGGCTAATTAGCTGCCTGAAAATGGTAATACATACCTGATTCAAAACATATGAAGGTTGGTGAACGGTATCTGGCAGAAAGGCAGTCAAGAAAACAGCAGCAGTAATTTTGTGCGGGAATCTTTCCATGGCAAGGGCCAAGTTCATGCCTCCAAGGCTATGACCTACAAGAATCACCTCCTCTTTCGGACCGAGTGATTCGATGAAGTGCAACAAAGGCTCGGAGTATTCTGCCAATGAGTGAACATCTGCGATGGCCCTTGCGTCCACGCCCGAAGCTGCAAGGTCCAGCGCTGTGACCTTGTGACCGGCGGACTCGAGCTTCGGTTTGAGCTTGTACCAGCACCAAGCGCCATGGCACGCCCCGTGAACTAGAACAAAATGTTTCTCTTCTTTTGGTGCAGCTGCCATTTTCTCCTTTGGTTATTCGCTATCACCTGGAATACTCTAGGATTTGGGTGGGGGATATATATAAAGATGGCCAACAAAAATTAATGCGATTTGGTGAATTTTATTTATTTTTTATTAAAAGTAATATTACTACTCTAGGTTACACTAAAAAGATAGAGAGAATTTAAATTTAAGACGTAGTGGGTTTTAAAGTATTGTCCTACGGTGTCATTTTAGTCAGGATTGTCCTACGGTGTCATTTTAGTCAGTGTATTATTAGCTTATTTACATTGTCTTTTTTTTTAATTATATATTTTATTTGAAAGCAATTTCACATATTGACTATTGAGCAAGGGCAGGGGCAGCCCAATCGAAGTTACTATTCACTTTTTTTTTGTCAAACGATATATTTTGTTACAAGTTACAACAGATATTAGAATAGTTACCGACGAGGTTCAAATTCACGACGTCTTACAAGTGTTGAACTCCTTTCCACTCATGTGGTAAAGGGTCATTTGCATGTTAGTATTCACTTTAAAAGTAATTATCTTTGTGCAACTTTATCCGTTGGCATGGATATGGGCGATTACTATTCATAAATAGGCTTTTTTGTCAAAATGATTTATGAAATTTGCATAAAACATCACTTTGATCTCTGAGATTTGAAATCAATAGAAGTGGTCCTTAAAATTGTCTACCATAAATCATTTTGGTCATTCTATGTAAAATTATGTTAAATAAGGGTCAAAATTACAAATACACCCTCAATTTAATAAACAATGGGTCAAAATGGTTTGACAAAAATTATTATGGTCATTTTATTCTTATTTAATGAAGATTTTTCATGAAATGACCAAAATAATTTAAGATCATTTTGACTAAAACCTTCGCAAACATATATATTTTTTATTTTTTAAATGCATATTAAAAAGAAGTACAACCTTAAAAATTGTTTAATTCTCTATGTAAACACACATCATGCGAATGTCAAATATGGAATTGACAAGAAAACATTTGCAGTCAGAATTCAGGTCGAGATCGTCAGATACAAATGAAATTGAAATTCAACCCCCTGAGGTATGGATTTCAGAGTTGAACCACTAGAGGTCCCCACAAGAGCTTCAGTTGTTGTCTCGCTCTCCCTCTTTGGGCGTTAATTGCAAGCGCTAGACAAAAATTACGTAACGTGGCCACCACCTACCCTCTTTCTGGACCGCTGGAGGCACGTTTTTCCCTGTTTTGGATAATTGAGAGGGATTTGGATCCTATACGGATCTAAATTGGAGAATCTTAGGAATCATCACATCTTAATCATTTATCGTATATCGTGTGATTAAAATTATTTAACTTTTTTTATTTAAAATTAAACACAAATAGTATGTGACGAAAACTAACCGCATAAAGTGCGATAAACAGCTAGGAATCCCACAAAGTGGATCCGGAGAGGATCCTATTCCAATTGAGAGAAACTATTGCCCTTCCCCAAAAGCAATCGGTGCTATTGCTTCTATGACCTTCCACAATAATTTAAGTGAATTTGATTTTTTTTTTAATAAACTATATTATCTATTTTAAGAAGGATGTGATTAGATTAGTCTCACAATCGTCGAGTAATAATGTAGTTCAAATTTACTTTTAGCGAGAATCGAATCTAAATTCTTTTACATACAAATAAAGAATAATATTATTAAACCGTAGTAAGTAACGTGAATTTGATATCTATATATAATTCTGGCCTACTTTGAAATTTGAATTGAAAGGCTTAACAATTTAACTTGTGGTTTTATGAGGTCGCGAGTTTAAAAGTTATGTTTCTGTATATATTTATTTGCCCAACCTTGTGTCCTGTTAACATAATATGACTCACTTTCTATCAATTCAAACTTTTCGAGATATTTCTGACAACGTCATCTTTTGTACATTGTTAACTAACATTGAAGTGAAAAATGATAAGGTCATTTCAAATGCGCCAGAAAGTATGAACTCAAATCTTATTTTTGAATTTAAATATAACCTTTTTATTTACTAATGCATTAGAAAGTTAAATCCTATATATAATTTTTTTAGTCATGCTGAAATTTACATTTGAGCGTTACATGTTATTAATGTGTCCAATACTGTTATGCAATCTACGTATTATAATAATTAGTAGGGTAGTGTTGTCTATCCAACTATTTTTGTCTTTCACATATATCTCTCAATTTATGATCGTCGAATCAAATGAATTGATAAAGATCAATGGATAAAAGTTAACAAAAAGATAGGAGGTAACAAATAGTGTATAAATAGCACCACCTAACAAATAACAATAGATAACAATATGGTCGTTATTTAATGAGCTTGGACGTGGAATTAACGAACAAAAGCACTTTTTATAACAAAGAATATTTAGTCAAATGTCAATAAAATCTTTACTAATTAACCATATGTACCAATTTTTGTTTTAGAAATAATCAATAAAATATTTATAATATGGTAAACAGCCAATTTAGTTCCTGAATTATCACCTTAGTGAAAATTAGGTCTCTAAACTATTTTTTCAGAAAAATTAGCCTCTGAATTATAAAAATCTGCCAATTACATCCCTAATGTTATATTCGAATCTACTATATTCAATTTTTTACTTGCATGTGGTACACATTGGAGGGTAAATTGGTAGTTTTTCATAAAGAAATAGTGTATAGAGTTAACTTTGGAGGATAAATTGATAGTTTTTCATAAAGAAAAAGTGTAAGTTAACTTTTGAAGGTAAATTAGACATTAAATTCGCAACCTATATGAAATGTTAAGGGCTTATAAACAAGAAAATGATGGTGTTACACTCTAAAGTGTGTCAAGTGACTTAAGTTGACGAAAAATTGGATAAAATAGTTTGGAATATAATAGTATGGATGAAATTAGCAATTTGTAATGAATTTGGGACTTATTTTACCAAAAAAATAATTCAAGGACCTAATTTTCACTGAAGTGATAGTTTAAGAACTAAATTGGCACTTCACCCTTTATAATATTTATGCATAGGTCAATGAAGCATGCCACATGAGTGCAAGGCTTTGAGCTAATTAGAAAATAACTATATGGGTTGGATTGGTATCATAATGTAGTGGGATAGCGGCTTTAGTTTTATTTTCCTATTTGATTATACGATTCGGATCAGATTTGGTTATTGGTATTCATATAATTAAAGAAATTGTTGTGAATAATATGTGAATGACCCACATGAATAGTTTGTTACTATTTATGCACGGTATTTTTACTATTCATTTTTGGAAAATTTGTAAAGTCAATAGTGTTCTCTTTTGTTTAAAAAATGAATAAGAGGTGAAGAAGGTTGAGAGACTCATGGTAGAGAGAGAGGAAAGAAGAGGAAGAGAGAAAAAAAAAAGATAGGAAGGAAGAAAGGATGAGAGAAAAAAAAAGGAAGAGAGAAAAGAGAGGAAGAAGAGAGGAGATAATAGAGAGAGTTATCTTTGTACTCCTATTATTCCAAATTATAATGAAAGCACCATTGCTGCCCCGAGGACGTACTCCAGTCACACAGACTGTAGAGGAACCTTGTAAATTTTGTGTCTTGTTTCATTTATTCCAGTGCACCCACCGTCGATTTTACAACACGTTATCAGCACGAGAAACTCTCATGTCATTGGAAAACACTATCTACCTCTCACCTCCGTCAGCTAAAATCTCACAAAAAAAAAGGTATGTCCACTTTCTGTCTCTCCCTCCACGCCTGAAGCACCCCACCGAATTCCGGTGAGAATTGAAATTTACCATGACCTAAAGTCATCACGAGATGAGAAAACTTGTACTTGACAATTGGTTTCCAAAGATCCAGAAGAATCTCATCAGACTTGGAAACCCAGATCACACCGTTTTCGACGGATCTTGAGAACTCCCATGAATACTTGATTGTCTGAGATGGTGATGGCAAGAATGAATCCACATAAGCCTCTCTCTCTTGTGCCTCCATCAACCTCGTTGCCATCTATGTCTCTGTATGGAGGTTTTTGCTTTGCGATGCCCTGTTCCCTAGGTCATGCAAGAACAACGTCAATCTCTAGTAGCCTTTTTGGATTGAATTAGTTTTGTGTGACCTCCACAACAACCCAGTTGGTCCTGGGTTTCGTGACTGGTAGAGACAGACAAAGAAAAAAAAAGGGAAGCTTATGGAATATGTATGGCACCATCTGAAAAAAGTCAATAGTGCATGGCACCATTTGAAAAAGAAAGAAACAAAGGTTTTGGTGCTTGGTGCATCTGCACCATCTAGATAATAAAATAAAAGGAATAAAACCAAAAGTTTTTGGAATAGTACAACATGTGAATGAATAAGAAGAAATAATAAAACAAAAAGGGGACAGAAAGGTTGTTGTGATGGCAACAAATTTCGAACACATCCGTAAGTGGAATTATCAAACTCCACCAACCACAACATTACAAGCTCTTTACTGCCATTTATTTATGTGAATGGTGTTGGTTTAAAATCATTTCACAAGTTCTATTTACTTTAAAGCAATTTCTTTACCACGGACGATTTTACCGCCTACTGCTTTAAGTTTTGATTTATGTGAATGGTGTTGGTTTAAAATTCTTTCACAAATTCTATTTACTTTAAAGCAATTTATTACCATGGACGGTTTTACCGCCTACTGCTTTAAGGTTTGATTTATGTAAATGGTGCTGAATTAAAGCCCTTGTCACAAGTTTTATTTACTTAAATGCAATTTATTTACTATGGCTGAAATTACCGTCTATTGCTTTAGTTTATTTATTATACTTATTTTTGTTACGATAAGTACATAATGGACCTGAAGTTTCTTGATCAGATCAGAACCTGTAGTTTCTTGATCCTCATCATATAAAATGATTGGACTCAAAGTTCCATCATACAAAAAAATCAGGCATGAAGTCCCTTGATCCTGAAGATCAGGACATGAAATTCCTTGATGAGTATCATAAGTGTGAAGTGTCACAGTGCCTCAACTTAATTGTAATAAAAGCCACAAGAGTCTCAGTCTACATACTATTTAATAAGGACCAGAAGTTCCTTATGTCCATACTCAAAATGGTTTAGCAGAAGCATTTATTAAGCGGATGAAATTGATTACCCG